ATAATACATATAATATCAAAACCATATTTCATATAGATTAACAAAGATAAATCTATAATACAGAAATACAATAGAAATACAAAAATCACAACCAAAAGAACAACACCAATAAAAAAACATCATAAACAAATGAATAATAAACATCAAATCATCACTACTAATATAATAAACATACAACCCCCACTATTAAGAAAAAGAAATAAATCGAAAGAATTCAGAAACAATATAAACAATGTGTAATAACACTGTATATAACGAAGAAATAACAACATAAGAATAACATAATAAATAATACAACTGGAATACAGAATAAAAATACATAAATAACCAAAGTCATTTATAACAACAAAATAAAATATGAATATTATTAACAACTAACGTTTTAATAATTTGAAAGAACATTCTTAGGAAATATGTTGAATAAACATGAAAAATATATTTAGATAATTTATGATTTGCACATTGAAGGAAAAGAAGTAAAGTCAAAATAAAAAGAATAAGAAAAAGAAAGAAAAATAACAAAGATGGAATAATGCATTAGTCACAAAAAGTGAAATTAAACAAACAAAATGGAGGTTTGAGTGATGTGATGTATTGAAATGGCACAATTTGTTAAATAAGAAAATAAATAAGAAGAAAAAAATATAAAATAATAAAAGTAGCAAACAGTAAAGTGAATAAGCAAATAGAGAAATGAACAAGTAGTAAAAACAGAAGAGTGAGACACAATGAAATGTGATATTCAATAAACTAAAATAACAACAAATAAACAAGATAGTGTTTAAAGAAGAAGAAAATCAAATAGAAATAAACTAATCGAACAAAGGTATGTATCAAAGATGGTTAGATAAAAAGAATAATAGATAATAAATTAGACAAATAAATCATAAATTCAACAAATATGAAATACAGTTTTAATAGATGGATGATAAATTAAAGACATAAACAAATAGAAACACAAAAGAAAATGAAAAATAACAGAGAATAATAATGTGGAAATAACCAAATTATAAAACAGATAACAAGAAAAGACAAAGCAATAAGAAGAAATTAAAATGAGAAAAGAATAAAACCAATACACACAGAATGGGATGAGACGAAAATAAAAATGAATAATATGAAAAGAAATGGATAAATGTTTATTAAATGATAAAATGAACAAAGTTAAAATAAAATAGAATGAAAACGAAGGTGTTAATTAGTATTTCAATAATATTAAAGAATGAACGTAACAAAACATAAATGAGTAAAACAAAGGTATAAAAAATAGAGAATAGTACATGTGTAATAAGAAATAGTATGCAACAAATTAACTCATTCATTATTTTAATAAAGTGATTTGTCTCAATTGGATTTTGAAACTAAACTAACATCAGCGGTTTAAATTATTGATTTTATGAAGAATAGGTGATGGAAATAGAAAGATTATTTATTAGATACAACAATCATATGATAAAAGAAAAGAATGATAAGAAAATCAAATGAAATAGAATTAGGGTTAAGATGAAAGAATAATAAACAGAATGAAAGCCAAGAGAAAAGTAAATTGCAGAGGAAGAAACATATAAAAGAAATAGTAAAGAAATATATAAAAGAAGAGAATTGTAAAATCAGAAATATAAGAAGAATAAAGAGAAAGAAGAAAGAACTGAAAAAAAGAAAAAGATGAGCGGGATAGAGGAATATGTTGAAGTAGGAAATGAGAAAATTGCAAAAAAGGATATTTGTCTTTACAAATATGAAGATGGGAAATTCATAGGACATCTTCTTGAAGCCAAAGGTAAAACTAAAAAGCATCGAGTTATTAAAGTGAAAATGGAAAAAGAAGAATATGAAAGTTTGTTAAAAAAGTACAAAAAAGAAAAGAATAAAATAACAATAAATAGAATTGAAAACAGAGATAGATAAAAAGAAAAAATATCCAAAATTATATATTATATTAAATCCATTTAGTGGAACAAAAAAAGGAGAAACAATAATGAAAGAAATAGAAGAATATTTAAAAAGTATGGGAATAATATATACAATTCAAAAAACAGAATATGCAGGACATGAACAAGAAATAGCAGAAAAAACAGATTTTAGTCAATATGATGTTATTGTATCAGGAGGAGGAGATGGAACATTACATTCTATAATTAATGGAGTTATTTCACAACATAAAAAAGAAATTCCAATAATATCACCACTTGCATGTGGATCAGGAAATGGAGTAGCATATAGTTTATATAAAGACAATGAACCAATAACAGGAATGTGTCATATAGTATGTGGAGAAGTTACAAGGATTGATGGAATTATATTAAATCATAATAAAGAAAAAAAGAAATATTATGGAGTATTACAATTTGAATTTTCATATTTATCAAGTATTGATTTTGAAAGTGAATGTATTAGATGGCTTGGAGCATTTAGATTTATATTATGGACACTTTGGTATTGTGTTACACTCATGACTACTAAAGCAAAAATAAAGACTAAAAAGTATGAAATGACAAATGATGGAGAATGTGGAGCATTATGTTCTACTTGTAAAAATAATAAAATAAAAGAAATAGATTATACCAAAGACATTGCTGATCAAATTATTCAACAACACGTAAATCCAGATTCTTCTCTCTCTAAAAATGATGGTTGGGAAGAATTACCTTATTCTTCTTATTGTATTTACTTTTTTAATAATTTCGCTTATGGAATGCCAGGAATTGAATTTGCTCATGGTGCACATAGAAATGATGGTTTTATTGATTCATGGGTTCTTCCTGGTGAAAGAGCAACTCGTTGGAGATTTTTAGGTTTTTGGATTTGTGCTGTACTCAATCTTTTTGTACCTAATTATATTTCTGGTTTTGACTATTTTAGATCAACCGCTTTATCTATTAGACTACAAAATGATGTTATAATTGGTATTGATGGTGAAAAACTTCCTCCAGGAAATAGCTTTGATTTATATGTTGCTCCTGGTTTATATCGTACTATGTTATGCACTAACTAATTCTTTTTTATTCATTCTTTTTTATTGTTTTTTTTTTGTTCTTCATCTAATTCTTTCATTCTATTTAAATTCTATTTGAGTTTTCTCCTTTCTTTATTTATTCTATTGTTTCTTTTATATTACTCATACCTTATTCTTCATTTAGATAATAATTTTATTCTTCTGTTCTTTTCTTCTTCTATTGATTTTATTGTCTTTTCTCTTTCTTATTCACTCTTTATCATTCGTTATTTCTTTTTCTTTCATTTTTATCTTTGTCTTTCTTTTAACTCTTTATTGTTTTTCTATGTTCTTTTCTTTCTCTTCTTTGTTCATTGATAACTTCAATGCCAATTATGTAATTCTCTGATATTATTATTTCTTCTAAAAAAGAAATTCACTATTCTTGGTTCTTATGTTAATATCTTTTTCTATCCTTCAATAGTTTCACTAATATTTCTTTTTTCAATTGTTTCTTTGATAATAAGAGATTAGTCAAACATAGTCATAGTATTACTCTATTTATTTTTGAGCATCATGATTTTTGTTCTAAATATTTATCACATTTGTTTTATCATCAGCTTGATTTATATTATCTTTTTTTCACTTACTTATTTCTCTTATTTCTAATTATATTCTGTACTGTGCTTGGTAATGACTGACTCAAATCAATGAAATAGAATTTACTTGAACAAATCAGAAAAGAATAAAATTGAATTAATACAAAAAGATTGAAGTATGAGTTATCATTATGATTTTATTTACGAAATAAAAGAAGAGTTATGCTTCAATCTACTATTTAAAAAGAAGTTCAGAAGAAAGAAAAATATTCAAAGATAACATGGGAAAAACACATGGAGGATTAACTCGTGCTGGAAAAGTAAGAAACCAAACCAAGAAGGTTGAGCAGATTGACACTGGTGTCAAGAAAAGACCAAGTGGAAGAGCACGTATAAGAGAGGCATTTAACAACAGACAAGAGTTACTCTCTGGAGAAAGAAGATTCAAATTTAATCATCAGAATTAATTAAGAAATCTTTCTTTAATTTGTATTATGTTTATTGTTCAAAATAATCATCTTTTCTAATTATTGTTTTTTATTATTATCTTTAATTACAGATAATGTACATTAATTATCAATTTTAAAAGAATTTTTGTACTTTATATTATGAACAGACAAGTATAATAAGTTATGAATATCAATATTCTTCTTATTGTCTTAAATACAATTCTTGGTCATATTTTCTTTCTTATCACAAAGTATTTTATAAGTGAAAGTGCTTATATTTAATTTAAGGAAATACTGTTTTGGCTTATTCATAAAGAATTATTTTTAAAAAAAGAAACAAGCATTTAAGTCAAACACTTCAAATCAAACAATGTTGAATTAGCATAAATGTAATTAAAAATATATGTATCAAAATATACTTTTTATTAAACACTTTATAGACATTAAATTAAATAACATTAACATATTAAAAAAGAATAAGTCTTAATCTCAATAAACAGTTTTACTTGTGCTTGTTTTAAAAGAAGACAATAGTAAAATAACAAATAAGAAAAAAAAACATAAAATAGTTCCATAGAGTTTTAAAGAAAAGGAAATATTATTTATATTTCTGTAATTTAGGTTGTATTGAGAAATATATGTTCTAATAATAGAAACGAATATATTCAATAATGCGAAGAGTCTTAACTTTACAAAGAAACGAATTTGTGTTATTGAAAAATAAAGTTCATTTAATAACAATAATTTTTATTCTTAAAAGAAAAAAATTAAATGATAAACAATAACATTAAAGAAAACTAAAAACTAAAAACAAAGTATTAAAAGTAATTAAATTAAAATACCAAAGCAATGTCATATGTGATGTAAGAAGTTATTTAATACTTAGACCAATATATTTTCTACAATGAAAATGAAAGAAGGAAATTTGATTTTTAGTTCTGTTATTATAATTTAAAAAAACCAAAATTCAAATTTTCAAATACAAAAAGGCACTATAAAATATAGTTTGAATTCAATATGAGTTCCAAACAAAAACAATGTGAAAGAATTCAACAACAATTTGAAGATGAGAGAATAAATCGAGAAATTATCAAATCACTCAAGTTAAACTCTCCTGAATTAGAAGAAGAATCATTAGTTAAACAATTTTTAATAATTGGTTCTGATGCTGCAGAACAACCAAATTATCAGTCAAGTGGATATAAAAAGAAGATTGGAGTTGTAAAACCAAAAATTCTTTTTCAATTTCCTTCAATTTCGTTTGTTTTATTATCTTTGGTACTAACAATACATTTGTAAGAACTAATAATTAGGTTGGATGGATTTTCCTATAATTTATTAGAACAGTTTTGCTTTCCTGATGTCACTTATCGTAAGAAAAGAACTCGTCAAAAAGAAAAAGATTTGATTACTGCACAACAAAAAATTTATTGTGATCATCTTCATTATCATAAAGTCTTTTCATTTGTTTTTCCTGGAAAGAGGAATGAATTGTTTGCTATTGGACTAAGAAAAAAACGTTTTATGTCAAGAGATCCAAAAGAATATGAAACAGAAAATATATGTTATATTTTATTAACGTCAGTTCCTTTCTTTGAAATACATTACCATTTGTTAGAGAATATTTTAATGGATTCTGGTTTAAATGATTTTGTATCTTCTTCAATTGACTCAACACAAACAAATAATTCTGGACTAGTCTTAAAATCTATTCAAAATTTAATCTCGGTTTTTACAGATTATCAAAAAATCACAGTAACCCCTTCAACCCAAACTATTAGTTTTAAATTCCCTAATGAAACAAATGAATTTTTTTATGATTGTTGTTGTGATATGCCACTAACTTATCATTATTCTGAATTATATCTATTAACATTATTTGAAGAATATAACATTTTAGATTTACTTAAAATGGTAACAGCATTTATGTTAGAACATAAGATTTTATTAGTTTCAAAGAATTTATTATTACTTTCAGCAACAATACATTTTCTTCTTTCATCAATTACACCATTTAAATTTGAGAGTTCTATTATATCTGTTTTATGTCCTGAGCTTTATACTGTTTTAGAAGCACCGACACCTTTATTAGTAGGAATGACACATCTTCCAACGAATATACCAATAACAAAAGAATATACATTCATTGCAGATTTAGACAATAAAAAATTTATAACTCCTATTACATTTTTATTACCAAATGCAAATGGATGGGTGGCAGAAGAAATTAATAGAACATTAAATGAGTCTCCTAAAAGAAATACTAAAATTCAATTACCACAAACACAATTAATAGAAAATGAAATTGGAACAACAAGACATATTATGGATGTATTTAAAAAAGCTATGGAAATTATTATTGAACCATTTCCATGTTGTTGTATTAAAAGTGTATATGAAGAACACGGTAAAGAAGATATTTCATGTTTTATGCCAGAAGTATTTTTTGCATGGTGGGAAGAGAAAGATCTTTTATTTATCAAACAATTTGTAAAAACTCAAATGTTTGAAAATTTTAAGATGAGAAAATTATTAGAAATTGATTCAAAAAAGAAGAAAGAGAAGAAAAAACAAAGCGAATAATACACAATTGTACTTTTTAATCAAATAAAAATCAATTAAAATGTTAAATATTTTTTGTTTAATTTCAAATTCATTTAAAAGAAGTAAATGAATAAAAGTTTGATTGTAATGGAAGAACAATTAAAGAAGAAATATCTTTTTCATAAGAAACGTGCATTAAACTTCTTTCTGATGATAAAATAATATTAGGTAATAATAAAGAACCACAATCCATTGCAATACATTCATATTGAGAAGTAATAGTTTCACCAGCTTTAATAATAACATGTTGTTTTTCAAATCCACTAATAATGATATTTGGTGATTTATCTATTTTTATAATAATTAACTCATCTTCTTTTCTATTTGACTGAATTACTGCTGTTAATAAAAATGGTTTTAAACATCTTACAATTTTTGGTACTTCAATTTTAACATTATAACTTGGAGGTGAATAACAAATTGTAAATGGAAGTCTTAATACTCCATTTTTAAATTGAATTAATAAATCTAATTTTGTTGTTTTTTCTAATCCTGTAACATCAATTGTATAATTTATTTCTTTTCCTACTGGTAACATTTCATCAATAGTTATTAAATAATTTGTTTTATCAAATGATATTGAATGAAGCAACAATGAATAGGGACAAATATTTAATATAGGAAGTGATATTAATAATCTTCCATTTCTCATTACTGGAACTCCTTCTTGAATTTTATTTATTAATGGGAATGCTGGAATACTTACTTTTTGTCTATGAATATATAAAGGTGCTGTTGCTATAACACTAAATTCATAACTACCTTCTTCAATAATATTTTTTAATGGACATTCAATAATAATTTTCTTATCTTTAAATGAACGTAGAATAAAAATATTTTGTGAATCTTCATATTCTGCTCCTTTTATAATAATATCTTTTCTATCATAACATTGACAATCAATATCTATTGCAATATAATCAACTGGTTCTATGATATTAATTGTCATCACAACTGATTGATTACAATCTTCCAAAAATAAAGGAATAAATGTTGGTGGTTGTAAAGCAAAAGTAAATTGAGGTTTACTTGTTCTAACCATTACTTGTTGATTAATAGGAATAGTTATTGATAAATAATTACTTAAATAAATATTCATTTGATTTAAAGTAATTAATCCAACAAGATTTAAATCAAAATCTAATCTAATAATATCATGTGGATTTATTGTTATATTATTTATATTTGAAGAAGAATCTCCTATTTTATTTTTATATAATAATTCAATTTTAACATCTTTTAATTCTTCTTTAAACTTACTTTCAAATGAAAATTGTACATGTCCTTGTGTAACATTAATTGAAAAGAAATGAATAAATTCTGGAATACAAAGATTTATATTTTCTTTACAATTAGAAAGAAGTTCATTTAAATGTAAATAAATAGTAGATTGTTGAATAATTTTTAATATATCATTATTTTGTTTAAATACATTTTTATAAACTGTAGTAATATCTTCTCTATGATAAGTTAATAAAAATATATATATTGCATAAAGTAAAGTATTATCACAATTACATTGTAATGCAGGAATACAACAAAAACACTTAGTAATATCATCTGCAGTATTTGATAAGATAATTTCTTTAAATAATTCTTTTGCTTCATCTCTTCTATTTAATTCAAAATATAATAATCCAAGTAATTTTTTAAAAAGAAAATTAGTTCCATTTCTATTATAATTTTCTGGAGTTAATTCAATACATTGTTTTAAAATCAATTCAAATTCTCTATCAAATATTTCTTTTTTTTTAATAATATCAGGTAAAATAGAATTCTTACAATTTGGTAATTTTACTTGTTCAGGTAATGGAGGTGCTTTATGAACAAAATCCATATCAAAATGAATAAAATCAGGAGAACAATCAAAAGTAAAACAAGTTTCACCAATATGTTTAATAGTAAACATTTTATACATATAAATAAAAATAATATCTGTTGATTTAAAATGACTTAATGATTGAATATTATTTTCTAAAAAACAATTACAACAATCAATAATAAATAATTCTTTATATAAAAATGGTAATGTAATTCCATTTTGATTTACTCTTTCTAAATATTTTTCCATCATTCCAAGTACTTGATTAAATCTTATACAAAGTGATGAATAATTTTTTTGATTAGAATATAAATCAATCATTCTATAAATCATAAAAATAAATGCTTCTAATCTATTATATGCTGTATATACACTTTGTGGTGTAATTAATTCTAATTCTCTTTTAAAATTAATTTCTTTTAAATTAACAACATTATTTTTTAATATTTTAATATCTTCATCAACACTTGTTCCTGAAACATCTAATTGACCAAGTCCCATTTTAATAAAATGAACTGCTTTAGTATAATCTCCAACTTTTTGTGAAAGAATAGATGCTTCAAAACATAATGATGCAAATCTTTTAGCTTCTTCAAGGTATTTATTATTTGGTTTAATATTAATTTCTTCTTCATATTCTTTTAAATATACTTCATAATTATTTACTACTGATTTAGCTATAACACTTAATAATTCTTTAATTTGTACATCACAATCAGGTAGTTGTGGTTGTAAATAAAAAGATTTTACTTCAGCTGATTCATTATTAAATCTTTTATTATTTCTTAATTCCCCTCCAATTGCAATAACAATAATTTGAATTTGTTTAATTGTACAATCTCTTATAATTGTTCTAATTTTTTTTAATCCATCATTATCATTATTTGATATAATATATAAATGTAATAATGGCCAATCACATCGTTGTGAATATTTAATTACTTCATTTTTATAATTACTTTGTGTTAAAATATGAATAGCATTAGACACACACATACTTTTAAAATTCTTCTCTTCTACTCCTTCAATTGTTCCATATGACTCAGCTAATGATTGTTTTAATTTCTCTCTTATTCCTTCAAATTTTTCATCAACTTCATGAACTAATATTGAATATGTAACCCATTCTAAATAATCAGATACTGGTGGTTGTGGAGTGTTAAGAATTGTTTTATTCATTTAATTGTTATTTATTCTTTTTTTTTAGTTACTTTTATAGTTCTTTATTTATGTTATTTATAACATTATCTTATAAATAAAACATTATTTTAAAAATAACTTGATAAGAGTCAAACTTTTTGAATGTATAAATTTTTAAAAGAAACCAATTAAATATTAAAAATTCTTGTAAAATAAATTATAAGGAGAATATTCAATAAATTAAATACAAACAGCATCATTATAGAAACCCATCATGTTGAAAAAAACTTCCACAATATGATGAAGCATTAGAATCACAACTTCCACATTCAAAATTAAAACTAGAATCCATTGGAATTGGATTAGAATTTCTTGGAGGAACTATTATTTCATAACTAGATTGTTGGTCTGTACTTGATTGAATACAATCTTTTGTGATTTGGAAATAACCAAACGCACTAGTTCGTATTGAACCATATGATTCTTCCATAAGAGAAGAAGATGTACTAATTTATATAAGACTTTCGTATTATTATATTTTATAAAACTATTAAATATTAAATTCACAAACCTATCATAATAAAACTGATGCTGAGCTATGGGTTTTGCTAATGATTTGGCAATTGACATAATAATGCTGAGATAAACTAACTAATTTCAGATTTTATCTTTTTATATCTATTTTCAAGTTCTTTTGAAACAAACAGTAGTTTTAATTGGAATTTACTAAGTTTGTTCCATCTCATTCTTTTTCTTTAACAAAAATTAATTTTTCTATTTTTTTCACTCATTGATTTCTTTTTATTGAGTGCCAACTAAATTCCATTCTCTTCCCAATTATTTACTCTATTTTGATGTATTATTCAATACTATCAACAGATTTCAAAGGCCTTTACTCTTTTCTTTTTTGATTAATAGATGATTGTATCTATTTTCATATCATTTCAAAAAAATCCTCTTCATTGAAGAATATTTAAAACTATTTATAAACAATGAACTAATTATTATTATAAGTTCATTAACATAAAATAATCAAATCAAAAATCTTAAAAAAATCAAGATGTCATTAGCAAAGTGAATTGAAAAGACATGAAGTTTAATACATTTAATCAATGATACCAAGAAATAAAAACATTACTTTACTTACATTTTTTGATCTTATTCATTTTCCTTTGAAAAAACCTAATTGGATTGGGTGTAATAACCAATTACGACCGAGTTTTATTTATCAACAAGACCACCCTCCATTCAAAGAAATACCTTATTATCTGTTACATCCTTTTCATTCATTACTTATCAGAGAATATCCTTCTTCTAATTGTTCTAATACAGTTAAAATTACAAATTCAGTCATGAAACAATTAGAAATGAAGGAGTTACCCACAAATGAGGATTATGAAGACTGGGTTGTTTTATGGGATGTTAATAAAGAGCAACAAGATAAATTTAAACAACAAGATAAAAATTATCAAATCAAGTATTGGAATGATTTTATCAATAGGATTGAATGGGAAAAAGGTATTGTATGGGATTCTGGTACAAACCAAATGAATTTAACATATTTACTTGAAATGGTAAACAATTGGGATTTCCATGAGACAACAAATAAAGAACAACCAAATGAGATTATCCAATATCAAAATTCCCACAAACAATTAATTTTAGAAGAAGATAATTATTTGATTGAGTATACAATAGATGACCCACCACTCCCATTGTATTGTAATTGTTGGATGGAAGAAGATAATCTTTTAGGACTATGTTTATGTACAGATGAAACCAAAATTATCCTTCAAAAACAATTAATTTCTCAAACTGATTTTATTTTAACAAAGAAAGATGGTCATTGGAAAATAGAAGAATTTAATCATTTATACTCAGCAGGTCAAGTGTTTTTGAAAAAGTCTATTGATATTCCACCTGCTTATTCAGGTGAATATTCTTATTACATAAATCAACCAGATTCTATTCAAAAACGTGTTCTCTCAACTTGTAATAAGCGGTATGGTGGAATGGATGCCAAAAGAATTTGTGAAGAACTTCTCAAAACAAAAGAAAAATGGAGAAACGAAAGTCAAATAATGGAAGAAGATTTATTAGACTTGCCTTGGAATAGGTGTTGGATTGATGGGAATTTAGTTGAAGGGAAAAAACGAAAGGAAGTTCAGATTGTTGAACTAGAATGTGGGAAATTAGGGTATAAAGTTAATTGGAATCATCATAAAAGAAAAAAGGAACAATGGACTAAATTAAAGGAGATTAGAAAAGAATTAAAACTATTAAATGCACCTTCTTGGACATTACAACTTAAACATGACGAATCATTAAATTGTCTTAAACGAATTAAAAAAAGAAAAATGTGGAATGAACAACGTCAAGTACAACTAACCGAAGAAGAAAAACAAGAAATACATCGTATCTTATATAAACAAAGAAGAATTGAATGGTGTTATAAAAGTATTTGGAATAATGATGAAGATAAAAAAAGGAATAAAGAAATTAAGGTTCAGAAAGAACAACCAAAAAAACGGAAGAAAAGTGTAAAAGAATGTATACAATTTATTCTTCAACAATCTGAAGATATTCAACAAAAGAAAGAATTAGAAAAATTATTAAAGAAAGTAAAAAGAAAAACAATAAAAGGATTTTCTAAAGACATTGAAGATGTTATAGCCAAAGGAAATAGAAGAGAATGGGTAAACAAAGTTAAAGAATTGATTCAGTTATATACAGAAGAGTAATGTATATTATTTTGTGTTTAAAATTCTTTTTTTTTTAAGAATTGTTTAAGCATATAAATAAGAGAATATTTTAATGAAAACAAAGAATAGTTTTTTTTTAATAATAAAAGTAATAATAAGAAATTATTAGAACTTATAAATAATTAATTAAAGGTTCGTTTCATGGTTATTTTTTTTGCATTGTTACTTGAAGTCTGTCTTGGGTTTCACGTTCATTATATACCAAAAAATGAAAACACAAAAATGGCTTTCTTAAATTATGAAAAAAGTGATAATACAACATTGTATATAGGGATTGGACTATTAGTTTTAGGTGTTCTTTTGAATTTATTAATGATATGCTGTTGTTGTAAATTATTATTGAAAGACCGTAGAATTGAAAAACCAGTAAAAAGCAATAAAAAAAGCAAGGATGAACAGATGGGAGTAAAAACGGATTAATAATTGTTTATTTACAAAAACAGTATTTAATTCTTTTTTTATCAATTTTGAAATTTAAAGACATTTTAGAAAGTCTTTTTTTCAAAAAATGGTTTTGATTATGTCATGATTAAATGATATGAGAAAATCTCAATCACCGTGAAATGAGAGAGGTAGATTAAATTTTGTTTTGAAAAAGTCATAGGAAGAAAAGGCCGTGAAATAAAATGTAGAAAATGTTTGACCAAAAAAGGAAAAGGGTATGATATACAAAAACAAAATTCCACGGGGATAAAAAGAATATATCATATTAAACCTTCTTCAAATATTTAATAAAGAACCTATAATTACACATAAAGAAGGGCTGATTCTTTTCTAATTTGTTTAGATAATCTCCTTCAATATTTAAACAAAAACTAACTTTTGTAAAACAAACAATAGTTAAATGACTGAGCTTTATCGTCCATCATTTATCCGAAGAGTAAATGTTGAAAGTGATGATGAAGATGGATTTGATGTTTTAAATACAATTGCACCATCTTCTCCACAACGCTCTGTTTCTCCTGATACATCTGCAGAACTAATTGAAAGTAGTCCAAGTGTCTTTACTATTGATGATGAATTTGAATTCTTTATTCATCCCGTTCTTTAAACAAACTAATCACTTACTTTAATGCTTTATAATTTTTATTGTTTTTATGATCTTCTATCTGTTGTTGGTTTTATTTCTGTTAATCTCTTTTAAAAACAAAACTTTTCTGTTAGGAGAATAAATTGAATTTTCTTGTTATTATAATATACCAAAAAAAAAATTATTTTTGTTATTTATTTCATAACATTAAAATCAAAGAAGAAAAGTTATTTTTATAGTTCAATCTATTTCTTAAAATAAATAAGAGGTTTTTGTAAATAGACTTGAAAATAAGGATTTGCATTTGAAAGAAAAATTCAAAGAATCTGTAGAAAAATAGAAATAATAAAATAATAATAAAAGAATAGTATTATAATTATAATTAAGAGAGTGATTATTACAGAAAAAGAGGAAAATTCTAACCAAATGGAAAAAGAAGGAAAAGAGAATTTAAAGAAAAAGAACTAAAAAGTTAAAAAATTACAATGTTAGGATTGTTGTGCCTAATGCTTAGTGCACTGAGTTATGCAAAATATCCTGTTGTATATGAAATTTCAACAAGACCATGGTTATATGAATTAACACAAAAATATGGAAAGTCTATAACTAAATTAAGAGATATTCCATTAGAAGAATTTGATAGATTAAAAAGTAAAGGTATTGATTATGTTTGGATGATGGGAGTTTGGCAATTAGGAGAATATGGATTAAATCTTGATAGATCTAATGCAGATAATTACAAGTCTGTTCTTCCAGATTTAACAGAAGATGATATTATTGGATCACCATATGCTATTACAGAATATGTCTGTAATCCTGAGATTGGAAGTGATGATGATATTGCTTGGTTAAAATCTCAGTTAAATGCTAAAGGACTTAAATTAATGCTTGATTTCGTTCCAAACCATTCTGCTTGTGACGCTCCTACTGTTAATGAACATTCAGAATATTATGTTAAAGCAGCTCAAGCTTCAAGTTATGATCCAAAATATTATCTTCCTAATGGTGTTGCTCATGGTAAAGACCCATATTTTGATCCATGGCCAGATACAGCACAATGGAATTATTTTGAACCAAAAACTCGTAAGTTTATGACAGAAAACTTAAAAAAAGTAGTTTCTTTATCTGATGGTGTAAGATGTGATATGGCACATCTTGACCTTAATGATGTTTTCTCCAAGGTATGGGAAAATGAATTAACAGCAAATGGATATTCAACTCCATCTACTGAATTTTGGACAGAGGCTATTGCTGAAGCAAAGAAAGTTAATCCAAATGTTATCTTTATGGCAGAAGTATATGAAGAATGGCAAATGACTAAATTACAAGAATGTGGATTTGACTATTATTATGATAAACCATTTTTAGATAAATGTATGGCTGGAGTATCAGAAATTCAAAACTATGCCCATTATAAGACTCTTGAATTCTTTGACCATGGCGCTCATTTTGTTGAAAACCATGATGAAAATAGAGCTGTCCAAAATATGGGTTCTGTTCCTCGTGCTAATGCTGCTGGTGCTCTTGCTGCTACTCTTCCTGGATTGATTTTCTTTAATCATGGACAATTTGATGGATTAAAAAATAAACTTGATGTTCATTTAAGAAGAAGTGCAAGTGAACCTAAATCTCCTGTTGCCCAACAATTTTATAATAAATTAACTTCTATTCTTAAAGATGATGCTTTCAAAACAAAGAATTTCTATTATGTATACAATGTAAATGGTGACAATGCTTGGAGATATGCTGCTTGGATAAGAAAAGCTACCAATTCATATTTAGTTGTTGTTAATTATTCTGATGCTTATTCATGTGCTAATGTTCCAATTTATGATATTAATGGAAGTGGAAATGTTAAAGTTAAAGAAATGATGACTAATATTGAGTATACTAGAGATGCTGCTACTTTAAAAAGTACTGGACTTACTGTTTGTATGAATGGTTATGATGTCCAAATCTTCCAATACAATTACTAATTCATTTCTTTCTTTGAAATAATATTTAATCCATATTTATTTGATGTTAATCAAATTTTATTATCAAAATATAATAAAAAATAAATGAATTAATCAATACACATGAAGAAAATGAATTGAAGATCCAATTGATGCTGCTATCCAATTGGTATTTGATTTTGACCAACAAACATCATTTACTTCACTTTTTGTTTGAGTCTCTAATAAATTATTACAACAACATTGTTTATTTAGTTTAGAATTTTGTGACCATATTAAAATACTTTTAAATGTACCTAGACAAATTTCAGAAGATGATGTAGGAGACCAATCTATAGAAGTAATATTTGTTGTGTCTAATTGTAGATGATTATATAATTTTGTTGGTTGTCTAATATCCATTATAAAGAGTTGATTTCCTAATGAATTAAATGTTGCAATTTTGGTAGGGTCAATAGTATTCCAACTCACTTGAAGAAGGTCTAGTTTTTGATTTCCTTGTGGAAACAGTTGAAAATTAGAAGTTGAGCGAATATCAGTTATTTGGATAAGTCCATTAACACAACTTGTAATAAATAAATCAGGACTGGATGGAGAATATTTCATATCAAGAATTTGTTGAGTAATATGGTTTGAAAATGAAGCAATAATTTGAGAGGATTCAATACTCCATACACAACATGTGTTATTTAAATACCATGCACAAACAAGGTCTGTATTAACCCTACACCAATCAAATCCACATGAAGGATATGCTGAGTAAGATACATCAATCACTGATAATTGAAAAATGTCATTTGATTGTGGAACACAAAATAACCTTAGATTATCACCTGAAGTTATTATCATATCATTAATTGGATTTGATTTAGGAATAAATTTAATGGAAGTAGGAGGGAATGGTAATGAGGTTGTTGGACAAGATGTAATTTCTTTGATAGAGTCAGTCACTTCTTCATATCCAACAAGATGAAGGTATGACTTACTACAATCTGAAAAAGTGGAATAAACACTTCTAAAAGGATGGACATTTGAATTAACCCAACTAACATTAATTGTTGGGTCATTTGCTTGAAGAATAAAATAATTTTTTTTAGGTTGCATTGAACCAATTTAGATAATGTCAGTACTAAAGAAAAACCTATTTTTTATTTTCTTAGACGTTGCAGTACTTTTAAATTTATATTATGTTTTACTTAAAATTTTATTATTTTACAAACTACGATTTTCCAACAATTTTTCTTTAATTATTCTTCTACAAAACTCCTTCTAAAATTACTAATAATTCATCTTATTTAATTCATCTTTTAATTCTATTTTTATTACTTTCGTTAGTGCAAACTTCTTGAATTATTTCTTGATGAAAAACGAATTGATAGCTAAGTTTGTTAAGGTAACTGAAAACTTTGATTTCTTGGAAAATTTTTTAAGAATAACTGTTCACCGTATGGTAAATTTGTTAATTCTTCTGTGTTCAATGGAACAAAATTTGCACAATTTGAAAAAGACAACTCACTGATTGTAGTTGGGAGATTAAGTGGACATAATGATGAACAGTATTGAACATCAAGTCTTTCAATTGATGAATTAAACAGAATGTTGGAAAGTGAGTTTAGTCTAAATAGTCTCAGAGAGGTTAAAGAGCTTGGAAGTTGTAGTTGTTCTAGTGAAATAAATGCAAGAGACAAATTCTTAATTGAATCACTAATTGGTGGTGGTTCTGTTTTATTGCAATTTAAATAAGTTAAACAAGTCATTAGTGGAAATTGTTTTTTCATAATACAACGTGAAAGTGTAAGTTGTAAAAGATTTTTAAATTCAGGAAATATTGTATGTTCTTCAATAACACATCCATTGAGTTGTAAAGAAGTCACTGATTCAGGTATTTCATTGAGGGTATTAGCATTTATTGTTAATTCATATACAAAAGGGAGTTTAGGTATAGTATCACCAAACGGAATAGCAATTGATAAAATGGGATGAGACAAAAGTACATTTGGAGAGTCTTTGATTATAATTTTATTTAAAGTTGATGGTAATTCAACAAGTGATGGAATAGAAAATAACGTAAGTTCATTTAATAGTGATAAATGAGTTAGTGATGGAAGAGGAGAATTAATGTTAGAAAGGAAAAGTCGTGTAATTGTGTCAGGAAATTCTTGAATGGAAAGGCAGTCAGACAAATGAAGTTCTTTGACGTCAAGTAATAAAGGAATGTCTACTTCACAGTGTTCAATAAAACAAAATTGAATTGTGTCAGGTAATGAGTGAATACAACTTAAAGAACTTAATGAACGTAGACAAAGACTTTTGGTTTGTGGGGGAATTTCTAATTCAGATAAATGAGGGCAATCAATCACATTTAATAAGGTAAGGGTCATTGGTAACTGAGGAAGAATATTTGGTTGAAAATGGATAAGTGTTAATTCAAGTAAGTTAGGAAGTAATGGAATTTCTACACTTGGAGATTCAATAGAAAGAGAAAGTAGAACTGTTGGTAATAATAATTGTATTTGAGGAAAATCTTCTGGAAGAATTTGTAATGAATAAATTTCCTCATCTCTAAGGTCAAGTAAAATAGAGTCATGTTCAATCTGAGATGGGTATAACGCAATAAAAGGAATTAAATAATTATTAAATACTTTTGAGAAATGTTCAGTTCCAACGAAATCAATAGCAAAAGTAAGGTGATAATAAATAGGCTCTAAAACACAAGTTGTTTTAATTAATGAGATATATAAATCATTTCTATACCCAATAAACTTAATATCCCTTTTAGCAGAACGACATTTTGCAATAGTAATTTCATTAATAATATCAGAAAATTTAATGATTAATTTTCCTTTTATTGTTTGGATAATCGGGAGAAGTTGGTCAATATTATACTGAAGTGTTTCAAAAATAATAAGAGAGTCATGAGAAAGGTCACTAAAATCTAATTGAATTTCTTCTAATGAACAAGCTACATTTATGTGTAATTTTTTAAGATTAACAAATCCTTCAAACTTAAAAGAAACAGGTTCTGTTATAACAATGTTTAATTCAATAAGTTGTGACTTAATAAATTTAAGATAAGAAAAGACATTTGAATTGATTTCTTCAACTGAACTAATATACCTCAAAACATGTCGATGAAGGTGATGAAAACGTGATAAAACAATCATAGGTGCCTCAAACGTTTGTAAATTTTTCATATACTTTAAGCAATTCTTTAGTTCTAATTCATTATCAAATTTAGGATTTTTAAGAAAAAGATCAAATAAATCACATTTGTGATTAACAAATGAGAGTGTGATAAGGTCTTGAACAGTTTCAAAATAAAAAGCAATATTAAGTAAAAAACATCTTTCAAGTTTACAAGTCATAACATTTTAAGTTTTATTTTTTATTTTTTTTTTTTGTTAAGAATAATGTTTTATAAAATATACAACTTTGATTCAAAAAAGAAAAGAGTTTGCATCATTATCCAATATAAAAACATTCTTTGATATAAAAATTCATTCATGACTGAAGAAGCATTTGTGCCCCCAAGTATTGGTTTTGCTTATAAAGAACTTTTGTCAAACATGTTTATAAGTAATGTTAGAAATAGATTAAGACAACTTAACCAACCCACAGACAATGATTGTAAAAGATGGTTCTGGGAATTATTACAGAATGCTAAAGACTCTATTGCACATGACCCTACAAAAAAATCTGTTTCTATTAATGTTAAAATTACAGATAATACATTCACATTCTCTCATAATGGATCACCGTTTACTGCAAAAGCAATGTTAGGGTTGTTATATAAATATTCAGAAGGAAAGCAAAATGATACACAATCAACAGGAAGATTTGGAACAGGATTTTTAACTACACATACTATTTCAAAAATAGTTTCTATTACTGGAGATGTTTATGGAGATGAAGAAAAAAGTATTGTTAATGGATTTACTGTAACATTGTATAGAGATGGTTATGAAGATTATGAGTTACTTGAAGGAATTAAAAAAATGGAAAATTCATTAAAATATTTAAAAGAACCATTTGGATTGACTACTTATGTTTATCAGATTCAAAACCAAACAGGGAATGAGGCTTTACAAAAAGGGGTTTCAAATATATGGGAGAATGTAGCACAAACTCTTGTTTTTTGTAAAGAAGTGAGTGACATTACTATAGATTATAAAGGCAAGATAACTAAAATAACAAGAGACCTTGTTGTTAAAGAAGGAATAATGGAAGTTCATACTCTAGTTTTTAACGAAGATGGAGATATTAGAAAGAGATATTTTTTACTTGGAAATTATGAAGAATATAATGAAGGACTTACTAAAAGATTTGGAGTTGAAAGAACACTTAGAATACAATATGCTATTGAATTTGATAATGAAAAAAACATTCTTAAAAATAAATTTACTTCATTGTACTGTGTTTTCCCACTTGTTGGATCAGAAGCAATTCAAATTCCATTTATTCTTAATTCTCCAGATTTTCAACCAGATGCAGAAAGAGAAACGATTTATCTTAATGGTAATGAAACAAATGCTGCAACTGGAAAAATAAGTGATACTGGAATAAATAGAATGGTTTTATTAAAATGTGTTGACTTATATAAAGATCTTTTAAACCATTTAATTCAATACGGTTATACAAATTTATATATTGTTGGTGCTGGTTTAAATTCAAAACCATCAGGAAAATTCTTTGATGAAAATTGGTATTCTTTATATTTTATTAATTCTATGAAAGAAGTTATGGGTTCTCTTCCATTTGTTGAAACACCATTTGGTTTAAAAACACTTTATAAAAATGGAGAACCAACTATGTTTTTCCCATACATTAATGGAACTAAAGAACAAAAACATTCATTTTATTCAATTGTTGCAATGCTTTATCCAACAAAAGTGTGTAATGAAGAATGTCTCCAACCATGGTTAGATAATATTTGGGAAGGTTGTGGTGTTCTTACTATCCAGAAATTATTAAAAAATATTAGTCAATACAGTTCTTTATCTGAAATGGAAAAACATTTTAAATCAACCGACTTTAAAACCGCATTAAGTAATCTTATTGATTTAACCTTTGAAACTGATAAAGAGTTACTAAACAGATACCCAATCATTCCAAATAAGAATGAGTCATTTAAAAGACTTGACTACTCTGGTTTTGTTAGTGTGGTTCATGTAGATGATATATTGAATACAATTCTTGATAAAATTACTGGAAAATGGAATGAATGTTGTATTCATGGCTGTGTTAAGAATGAGCGTTTAACAACTTCACTCGATACTGGTAGAATATGTGAAATTATTAATTCAGAAGTACTAAAACTAAGAGAATCTAAATCTAAAGACATAGCTGGTGATGAAGAATTTTTAAAAAGAGTTGCTTTATTAATTACGTGTTGTGTAGACAATCAAACTAAATTTAATGAAGAGTTTATCCATAAAAGAAACTTCCTTTATCAGAATGTCTTTGATTGGTTTGATGAAATTATCCCTGATAAAAAACTTATAAAAAATTCATTCTCAAAAAGACTATGGGACAATCTTGATCAGATTCTTATTGGAATTCTTTTGAGAAAAATAGAAAAGACTGAGGAAATACGCAAAATCCCAGTTACTATAAAACAGTTTAATGATTTATTATCTTATTTATATAAAAATTCAACAGCAATTATTTGGAATAGATATGCTGTTATTGCTGATCAAAATGGTATATTTCAAAAACCAGAAGGAATGTATATTGATGACGGTATTCCTTGTTGCCTCAAAAATAGTCACATCATTAATTTAGGTTTGGACTTCAAAAGAATTCTTTGTGACAAAAAAATTAAATTGCCATTACCCGTTCTGTCTTTAGACGATGGGTGTAAAAAATTTGCAGCATCAAATCCAACCAATGTATATTGGGAAAATCTCCTTTATTTATTTTCGCTTATCCCACAAGAACAAGTTATTCATGACAGGCAAAAATTATACTATGACTTAAGCAAATGTTATTTGAATAACACAAACCCCGAAGTGTCATTAGACGTTAGTACTGATATTTTATGGAAAAAATATAGCCTTTGTTTGGTTAAACAGATTGTTAAAAAACACAACTCTTTTAATAATTTGTCAAATTACAAATCATATTTACATTTAGATGATGATGCTTTTAGGATGATAGAAATGTATTGGACTTGTTATAATTTACATCATCAGAATTTAGATTGCCCATTGAAACTTCCTAATCAATATGGAACTTTCAAAGACTCTAGAGAGTTATCATTTGACCAAGACAATGCCCAAAATGTAATAGAGGTCCAATCAAATTTATGTTCCCTTTCAATGAACCGTTATTATGAAAGATATATTATGTGCACAAGTTATTCTGACTATAAAGACAAATTATTATTTAATGGAATTAGAAATATTAATAATGAATTGAATATTGTTACACTACAAAAGATATGTAATACAATTGATGATATGATTGAAGCTTTTTATACCAAGAACAGAAAGGAATTATTCGATAATTCTAGATTCAAGGATGTTATGACTGACTTATTTGCAACTGGGTATATTCCTTCATCACAATACTTCCCTAAACTTAGCCAAGAAACACTTCTTAACGATATTGAGTATAGTGTGATGTTTAGCTCAGAATTTAAAAAGTCATTCTTTAAACTATCAAACCTTTTAAAAAAGAAAGGAATGACAGCAGATGAATTAATTAATTTAGTTGAACGATACAATGTAAAAAAAGATGAAGTTCAATAAATTGAAGGTTCTATTACACTTTTACTATTAAATGAAGCTAAAGAAAAATGAAAAGAATAAAATTAATTAATTAATTCTTTTACAAATAGATTTTTATGAAAAAAAAAATAAACATCATTGATAAATGTATTATTTTAATCTATAAAATAATTTATTTGACTATAAAAATACTTCAGAATAAAACTAATAATTCAATAATTGAAGATGTCATCAACTACCTTCCCAAATAATTATAATAATTTACTAACTCAAATTAGTAACTTACCACAAAAGAGTATTGATGAAATTAGTTCTGCCTTTCTTGGTTTGGTTAATTGTATTAGTCAAAACAACCAAAACAGCACTATTCCATTAAAGAAACTATACAATATTTTTTTAGACAATAACCAGTCTGAAGCTGAAAAGCAACAAAACATCTCTAAACTGTTAAAGGACGTTTCATTCACTCAACCAGACACAAACTACCAAAAAAAGATAGGAAAAGAAATAGGTAAAGCTACTAATATAAAAAGTTTTAAACAGGGTGTAGGAAATACACAAAAAGGATGTGTATTAACAAAAACAGCTCAAATAAATAAAAGTTATACGTTGTCAGATTTTTTTAGAGCTATAAATATCCTTTATTCATCTGAAACCAATAAAGAATTGATCTTTAATATTTGTCAAAAGCTCTTAAGTGAAGTCCTTATACAACTTCTTTTACCTGATACACATGATGAAATGAAATCAAAATTTATTAACTTCATTAATGAAATAAACAAAATTCAATCAGGACATTTAAGTCCAGACTTTGTATTTACAAATAAATTTAGAAGTAATGAAACAATAGAATTAATTCAAGAAGAAACAAATTGGATATACTACTTTTTTATAAAAGAATTTAAAAAAATACTTGTTGAAATGAATAACCCATGCAATGATTTCATGAAGAACGTTAAAAAATTTTGTACTGACATATTACATTTGTTACAAGAAGAAAGTCCCCGATCACAACTATATTATCTTGATGACTATGTGAAAAAATTTAAAGAAATAATGCACCAAGTATTAAATAAGGTAATTAATAAAGATAATGAATTAAAAGTCAAACAAAATTTGTTGAAATTAATTACTCCTGATAATTGTCATTTACTTTTGAAAACCAATGACTTACAGAAATTTGTTGATGATATTCTCAATGCTCCTGACCTCACTAAAACCACTGAATTAAGTTCAAAAATACATGACCTAAAAGGAGAAAAAGATGATGCTGAACGTAATAAGAAAAAATTAATGGAAGAAATAAACAAAACAAAGTTTGAACTAAATACGGCTACTACAAATATTAAACGTTGTTCAAAAGAACTTATAGAAGTTAAAAATGAAAAAGAAGAATTTATTAACAAATTAATCGAAGAAGACTCTGTTAAAGCTCAGAGCATTGCTATTCCATTTGAATTATGGTATATTGAAGCTACTTATACTTGTATTATTTTTATAAAAGAAAAAATGAAACGAATTAAATTTGTTCTTCAACTTAGGCATAGTAATAAAAATGGAGAACTAATTCATATCAGAGACAATATTTATATTCGAATTTATTTCACTCATAAACACTTTAGAAGAGAAGGTGATGATATTGTCTATTACATTAATGACAATGAAATTCCTAAAGACCACAGAGCAAGTGTTATTCATCCAGGTGGGTCTACATACACATATTCATATGGCAATTTTAAAGACAATCAAATTATTGTTGAACAGTGTGGATTTACTAATAACTCACATTCTTCTAAAGGAAGATTTATTATACGAAAAGTGGATAATATCAATTTATTACCTCCTAGTGAAAATGAATTAATTAAGAAAAGACAAGACGACGCTTTAAAGATGCGTAAGTTTGTTGAGAGAGAAAATGGTACTAAGCTTGAGGAAGAAACAAACAAACAAAAATTAGAAAGCTGTAGTCGTAAGGTTGATGATTTACAAAAAAAAGAAAAAGATTGTGACAATAAATTAAAAACAATTCCTGATCAAATCGAAAGCCTAGAGCTTGAATTGTCCGAAGAACAGAAAAGAATCAATGAAAGTAGTTCTAAAAGTTTTGATTTAAGTCAAAAGAAAATTACAGCTAAAGCAATAGAAGAGAATAGAATTATTATATATTCTTGTAGTCATCACAGTGAAATTGAAATTGATGAAAAAACAAGTAATGGTTTTTGTATTAAACCTGCAGCTAATGGTTTGCCTATATGCTTTTCAGATTCAACACAAATTCCTTTAAGAAAAAGGGGTGAGAAGGGATGGTTGTTTGGTTCTAAACAAACAATTTTCTATTATCATTTTCTAGGAGAACTAATATTTACTAATAAAGATGAAGTAGTGCCTAATAATGATATTATTTTTGACACCCTTTTGAAAGGTCAACAAGTTATCATTTTTAATGTGAATATTCCTAATTCGTATAAAGAAAAGTATCTCCCTATTGTTACTTGCAAAAGAAAGGCTTTTAGTATGGATAATCCAGAAGATTTTATGATATTTCCAGTTAAAACACCTAAATGTCCCACTAGATTTGTCTTTAAGAATGGTTATTATGCTAATACAGAAGATGGAGGTATTATTATTATTAATGTTTCATTCAAAGAAAATGAAACAGTCTTAAGCCATTATAATTATATTTCACCACAAATCTCTCCTCGTAAATGTAATCAAGGAATAGACAAAAAGAAACCCGAATCACTCCCAAATGAAGACACTCAAAAACCACAACAATCTATCAGTTTGGTTGAAGATATTCAAAAACCACAACAATCTATCAGTTTTGTTGCAGACACTAAAATATATTTAACTTCTTCAAATGTGTGGGTCCAAAAGGAATATGACATCTTCGATGACATACGTATATTTGAAAAAGACTATAAGATATATGGAATAAAATTTATTGAGACTTCCTCTAAGCAAGGTGATGTTTTTGACAATCACAAACCAGGTGATGTTTTTGAATATAATACCTCCAGTTATAATTTGGATGTGTATTGTCTCAAATGTATAGAGAGTAAAAATGAAAAGAAAAGTATAAAATCAAAAACTTGTTATAAAGAACTGGAGTGTTATATCCCTAAAAATCTCAAAAGTACTTTCAAGGAATATGTTGGAATAATGGTTAGTCTAGGAAGTTACAACTCAACAAACACGAGTAATACTTCAATACTTCTACCAATAAATGCTTATAAGTTAGAAGATCAATATCTTGCAGTCTTCGAATATAAACCAGATAAATATATTGGTGTTAGATTTCATTTGAAGTAAGTAATTAACTCCTTTCTTTTATAAGACAATGAAAAATGAATGTTTATTTTTAAACAAAAAAATATAGTTAAGGATTATTGTTGGTCATCTTCATAAGAAGATGTGATTTTCTCAAAGGTTTTCTTAATTGAAGTAACACACTTATCTAAATCACTCATCATATTGATTGTAATTTTTTCTGCTTTAAGAATGTACTGAATTTTTTTTGTTAACACTTCAGCTGGATATTGGAACTGAGTCATTTGGAAGTCATAAAGATCTTTTTTGTCTTTGTTAAAATATTCAAGAACGTACAAATTTCTCAAAACAGTATGAGCGTCTATTTCTACAAGTGAAGCCTCATACAAAGGAGATAGAGTTGTAGCAATAGACTTTTGTTTTTTCATTATTTCTAAAATAGTAGAATATCTTTCTAATGATTGTTTTACACCTACTTCTTGAAGATCATAATGAGTAAGACAACTCAGTAAATCTTCATCAATGGGATCATCACTATTAATCTCTTTTTGTTGGTATGGAATGCATCTTTGTCCTGGTTTGTGGTGATGATCATTAGTAACTTGCATGCACATCCAACAGAAAAAACAATGGCATTTATAACAACACATCCATTGACATCCACCATTCTTCTCAATAAATGTACCACATGCAGGGCATGGTCTTGAGTTTGTTCTAATCCATTTTAAATTTAACTCACCCTTTTTTAATAGTTCTTGCCATAGTCTCCATTGTTCACAAGTAGCAGGTCGATGATTTGCCTCTCCACAAAGAAGACACATATTAGTTTGACAAGAACATATTGCAGTTTTATTATTATCTAAAAGACTTCCTTTATAATGTAATACTTTATTACATCTTTCATTAAAACAGTATCTACATAAAAAATCTTTATTTCCTTCAATAAACCCAGTGATAAGTAATTCACAATACCTATAATACGTATAGTCATCAACTAAATAACGTACAATATCCATTGTAATACAACAATGACATCCAGAGGATAAACATTTAAGATTTCCAATATTTTTACCATTTTCTCTCATTCCAGTTAATATTTGTTCAATAACACATTGGTTACAAAATGAATGTCCACAACGATTTGTGAACATTTCTTCTTCTAATTTATCTTCATAACAAACGTCACAAGTAATTGATTGTGCTTCTAATTTTTCATCTCGCTTTTTATGTTGTTGAGTCAATTTTTTATCTAACTCATTATACCATAATTTCATTGAAGATGGTATTGTTCCATTATTTACAGATGTGATAATAGAAGAATCTTCATTATAAATCATACAAATATCAAAATAAAATTGTGGAGAAAGTCCTAGTAATGGACATTGATGAATAACATTCTTTGATGGATAAATTAATTCTCTCAATAAGTTATGTTTATTTTTTAAATTATTTTTTACATCATCAATATGGTTTTGAAGTTTTTTAAGTGCTTTTTCTTCATTGCCTTGACATTGAATTAATGATAAAATAGCTAAACATCTATTAAACCCTCTACCAGTAATATTACATATACTTTCTTCATTAATTTGATATTCAGAGATATTGATATATTTCAAAACAAAATAATCTTTAGGAAAAACACTTGATTGAGGAGCAAACCAATCTTCTTGTTTTTGTATATATCCGTTCTTTGTTAAAAAATTATCGTCACTAAAAAAATCATCTTGTAATTTTAATGTCTTAAATCCATTTTCATACAATAGACTTAATACAATTGTAGGGCAAATACAAAATAACTCACTTGTTTCTACTTGTCAGTGATGAGCTTTGTTATTATTAAAAATTTTTTTTTATATTCTGAGTAAAACAAACCACTTAATTCTTTATATATAATTGTTAATAACTCATTTCTATCAAAACACTCTGACTTTGATATTAACCTTTTACGGTATGAAGAAATAGGAAGTTGAGAAATAATAGCGAGTGTTTCTTTATCCATAAAGAGAGTTATTAAATAAATGATTCTTCAATTATTTTTCAGAAAAAAAATAAAAAATAAAATTTAAAAAGTAAAAAAGAAAAAATAATAAATGCTTAAGATGCAACACATCAAAAAAACGTTGAACCCACGTCATCAAAGAGAATAAAAGCAATCATCTAAGGTGTTTATTAAACAGAGTATTTGATTATGTCTAATAAACAACTTAGTGAAGCAGCTAAAGCTAGAGGTACACAAGCCTTTAAAGATCAAAAATTTGAAGAAGCTATTAAAGAATATACTGAGGCTATTAAATATGATGAAACAAATGGTGTATTATATTCAAATAGAAGTGCTTGTTACGCTTCATTAGAACAATTTGAAAAAGCATTAGAAGATGCAAATAAAACAATTGAATATAAACCAGATTGGTCACGTGGTTATTCACGTAAAGCATTTGCTTTATTAAAATTAGAAAGATATGAAGAAGCAGAAGAAGTATGTAATTCTGGTTTAAAAATTGATCCTGAAAATCAAATGTTAAAAGATATTCTTGATGAAGTGTATGAAAAAAAAGTACCATTTAATGTTAATGAAATGTGGAAAAATTGGAGAGTTAAACTTGCAGCTAATCCAAAAACTGCTTCATATTTAAATGATCCAGTTTTTGTTAGTAAGATTGAAAAGATTGCTGCAGATCCTAAAACACTTCAAACAGAAATGAATGATGTTAGAATTACTGAAGCAATGATAGTATTAATGGGAATTGATATGAATAACTTTAAACCTCAAGAACAAGAACATACTAATACTCCTATGGAAGAAGAAAAACCAAAAGATACTCCTAAAACTGAAGAAAAGAAAATGGAAGAAGAAACTCCAAAGAAAGAAGAGACTCAACCAATGGAAGAAGTTAGTCCAGAAGATATAAAGAAAAAAGAAGCACAACAACAAAAAGAAAAAGGAAATGAATTATATAAACAAAAGAAATTTAATGAAGCAATGGAATGTTATGATAAAGCTATTGAACTTGATCCAAGTGATTTAACATTTAAATTAAATAAATCAGCTGTGTTTTTAGAAATGGAAAAATATGATGAATGTATTAAATTATGTAATGAACTTCTTGATGAATATAAAGAACAACGAATTTATACACAAAATGCTAAATTATTTATGAGAATTGGTAATGCTTATTTCAAACAAGACAAATATACCGAAGCACTTGATTTTTATAAAAAATCATGTACTGAAAAAAGAACAGAAGAGATTTTAAATAAAATTAAAATTACTGAGAAGAAGAAAGAGGCTAAAGAACAACAAGAATACTTCTCAGTAGAAAAAGGTGAAGAAGCTCGTGCTAAAGGATCTGCTTTCTTTAAAGAACAAAATTTCCCTGAAGCTATTAAATGTTACACTGAAGCAATTAAACGAAATCCAAATGATCATCTTGCATATTCTAATAGAGCTGCTGCTTATCAAAAACTTGGAGAACATCCATACGCTATTAAAGATGCTGAAATGTGTATTAAAATTAAGCCAGATTTCATAAAAGGATATAATAGAAAAGCATTTTCTCATTTCTGTATGAAAGAATATAATAAAGCATTAACTGAATATGAACGTGCTTTAAAAATTGATCCTAATAATGCTGAAGCAACATCAGGAATTACTACTGTTCAAAACGCAATCATGGGAACAAGTAATGCAGAAACTGATGAAGAGAGATTAAGACATGCTATGGCTGATCCAGAAATTCAAAGTATTTTAACTGACCCAATGATGAGAAATATTTTGGATGATATGGGAAAGAATCCTGCTTCTGCTACTAAATATTTACAAGACCCTGAAGTTCGTTCAAGAATAGAAAAATTGATTGCTGCTGGTATTATTAAAACAGCTTAAAAAAATATTGCTGGATGGACTGATAACCAAAAGTATTTTGAATTTACATCTTTTTAATTTATTGTTTAATTTTTTGGTATGAATGAGGAATTTATTATTTTTGAAAAGTTGAAATTTCTTGAAGAACAGATACTAGGTAACGAGCAAAACTTTGTAAATAAAGAATTAGTTGACCATCAACAATAAGAATGTTATGTTTACATTTGTGATGTCCTCTTTGAATAATAAAATGTACCTGTGCACGAGAAATAAATGGGTTAATACTGTACCTTGCATGATGATGGAATAAAATGTTTAAATTTTGTTGGTGTTTTTGATTAAGAAAATCACATGATTCAAATAGTTGGTTTTGTCTATCAGAACAATGAAGAGGTTGAAGAGGAACAGAGATTGGTTGGTATGGAATTTCCCAATACCCATGAGTCTGAGATATTTTTATGTCATCAGAAGAAGATACGTAAAATATAAATGAAGGGTCATAAATAAGAATTAAATTCTGAACCATTTTTGTATTAACTTGATTACCTGCAACAAATGCAAATACTATATTCATATTAATTGGTGTTTGTGGAATTAATTCCATAATTGAGAAGAGAAGCTGACATGAAAATACTTGATTTATTGTGTCAATTCGTGGAATATCAAAGAAACATGAAATAAAGAAGAAGATAACAGAAATAACAATACGTAGTTTTTCCCCAATTTCTCCATGAATAATTCCAATAAATGGAAGTATTAATATTCCAATATGAAGAACTAAAAGTAATGATTGTTTGTTTAAAGGATGTAAATGGCAATAAATTAGGGTTGTTGGTTTCCATGGATTTAAATAGTCTTCATTAACAAAATAACCGTTATAACTAGAAAAACAGGCAACATAACTTTGAGAATTGAATGGTTTAAGAAGAGTTAGAATAAATTCAAGATAATGAAAGACTTTGTTGGTTAAGAATAAAATACAAATAGAGATTGATAAGGAGAGAAAGAGTGTTTGGTTAACAACTGATGTAAAAATACAAAGAGAGAAATAAAGAATGAGGTATTGATCTGGAGAAAAACGGTGATGAGGAAGTGATTGTTCAACGATGGAATATTGAATATTTTTTTCCTTAAATATTTGAACTAATGTATTTGATTTCTCCAATAATTGTTGAAATATCATTAAATATTTTTATTAAATATAACAACAAAATATATAGCTTTTTCCTTTCGTTTTAATTTCAATCTTGAGATAATTAATTGGCGAATAATACGAACAAAAATATCAATTTTGTTGAAAGAGTAATACTCTAGATTCATTATTTAGAATTTTGTTAAAACTGTTCTATTTAAACATTATTATCTAAAAATAGGAAAATAAGAAAATATTTAAAAATGAGAGTATCATAACAATAAGTTAAAGAAAAGTTGTGACATTGTTTTTTACAAAAAAAAAAGAAAACAGATGAAAATATTAAAACAGAAACTTATCAAGAGTTGAAGAAAATTTGATATTTATAAAATGATAAAATAGAATGTTTGAATGTTTTATAGAAAATGAATAGAATAATAAAAAACAAAAGAACCAATGAGATAAAGTACAAAATGAATAATACAACATAATATTTTGAAGAGAAGCGATTTAAAAATCAGATTACAAGAAATTTTTAAGCTCATCTCTTGTAATTAAAGAAACCATTTGAGTATTTACTTTATTCATAATATAGTCTCTAATTGAAGGTGCTTTTCTATTAATATCTTTTATTGAATACAATAATTTGTTTCGATAGGAAATTGTAACTTCTCCATCGAATCCACAATTTTGTTCATTTTCTGCATAAACTGTATAACCGTATTCAGTTACCAAATCCATTAATAAATGGAGTAACTCCCATCTTTTCGCTTCTTGCATCCTTCTTTTAGCTGTTTGTTGACTAACTCCTTGTTTTGTTAAAGATGTTATTAGTTCATCTTCTCTTTTTCTAATGAATGTTTGAACTTCTACTTCATCTCCAGAACAAAAATCAATTTTAACTATTTTTATAAATTGTTTGGTCACTGTTGTTTTTCTTTGGGGTTTAGCTATTGTTAGATTAACATATTGATTTAATATTGCTATGAGAATTGCTTCAACATCACATTGACTATTCATCATTCGACATTGTTTCAATTTTGTAGGTTTCTTATCACTCATTTCTTACTAATTTAAAGAGAGGTTTGACTTTATAAGATTCCAATCAGATTATTGAATCATGTAAGTTTTTTTTCAAATCTTTTGATGTTATTTTTTTTTTGGTTCAAAAATTTTGTGGCTTTGAAAAAAAAAATGTAAATGTATTTTTAGAATGCAATAATTTAATTCAAAAAAAGAGTAATGAAAAACAAAAAATAAAATAAAAAAACATTTTTCTTTTGAAAACAAAAATTTAAAATAGTTTTTGGTAATAAAAAAAAAAAAGAAATAATAAAAAAATAAAAAGAAAAAGATGAACTGTAAAAAACTAAAAAAAGACAAAAAAGTTATGACAGCTGAAAGTAAAATGGAAGAACAACTCAAATTATTAGAACATCAGATAAATGAAACCACAAATAAGTATAATGATATATTATCATTAAAAGGGACATTAAAAAAGAGATTAGAAGAAATGGTAGTACCAGAAGTCACAAAAGAAGAAATATTGAAGAAAGAAGAAGAATTAAAACAACTTCAAAAAGAAATTAATGAATTAAAACTTGAAATTAGTGAAGAAGAAAAGAAAGTACTTACTAAAGAATTTAATGGAACAAATAAAAGAGAAGATATAAAGGGTTCATTTAAACTTAGTGTTAGAAGAGAAAGATCAAAGACTGCTGTTATTAGATTAAGAGAAAAATCACATCAAACATTAGCTGTTACAGATTATAGTGCTGATTTTGAAAATAGAAAGAATACTGAATTTACTAAATATGCTGAAACTATTTCAAATATGTTAAAACAAAATGAATCAATTTCAACAGATGAAATTATTGATCAATTAGCTTCTAAACTTAATGAATTACATGATGAATTAGATGGAGATTCTTTAATTCCAGATACTTCAACTGCAGAATTATTAAAAACTACTAATTATGAATCAATTCATTTAAGAAAAACTTCTACTGCTTTTAGAGTTACTTCAAAAATTGCACCAGGAGATATCATATTACGTGATGCTAACGATAGTGATGTTAAACGATTTGAAGAAGTAATTCTTAATATGAGTGAACAAGCAGCAGCAGTTGCTGCATGTAGTGAAGATGCATTATGTTTTGGTTCATTAGTATTAGTAAATAAAGATGATAATTCATTTTCTGTAGAATTTAGTGTAAGATGTGAGACATTAAGAGGAGAAGTAGTAAAATTATTTGATGCAGCTCAACGTGCTATTGATGAACCAATTGTTTTTAGAGAAGATTCATCAATTTTTGTTGAGAATTATAAAACAGAAATTACACCATTTGTTAAATTATTAACTGACTCAAAGGAATTAGTTAAAAATAAGTCAATTGAACCAATCATTGATTCAGCAATGATTGATGCTTTTAATGGTGTTGGAACACAAATTAAAGCTGGACAAGTAGAAAAAACTTTTTATGACAAAGCACTTTCTGTTCGTGCATTAACATCAGAACTTATTGTTCTTGCAGGTACTATTGCAAAAATGAAACCAAAAAGTTCTGAAGAATGTAATTATTATGAAAATAAAAATAGTCCATCATCACCTAATTCCGGGAATAATGGATGCATTACATTTGATTCAAAAAGATTTGAAAAAGAAAAGTTATTGTATGTTGAAACAAGTGATGTTCTTATTAGAATTATTGATACATTAAGTAGTTATATTAATGCAGTTGCTACTGCTCATAAAATTGCTACTATGCAAAAATCATCTACAGTAACTAAAGAAACAGAAGATAAAGATCCATTATGGGAAGAATTAAATGGAAGTGTTAAAAAACTTAAATATGATGAAGCAAAACATACAGTAGATGGAGGTTCATTAAATAGATTTATTGAATTATTAACAAGTCCTGGATTGATTAATAATGATTTTAACAGAGTATTTATGTGTTCATTTCCATATTTCACAAATTCTAAAACCGTGTTACAAAAATTAATTGAACGATATAGAGTTCCTAAAGAATTCGTTATTGATTCAACAAAATACGTTATTGATGAAACAAATTCTAATGAACAATCTAAAGATTCTAGAATGAATGAAGACGCTTTATCAATTGCTAAAAAAATTAAAGTTCGTACTGTTATTGCATTAAAAGGATTATTACTTGATGCTTTTGAAGAGTGTGATGAATCTGTTATTGAAGAAGCTCAACGTTTCCTTGATAATGAATTAGGAGTTAATGATAGTACTAAAACTCTTAAAGAACAACTTAAAAGAAGAGTTAATGAAAGAAGTAAACAAATTACAAGTTTCTTAATTCCACCAATTGATTTCTTTATTCCTGATGAACATATATCACCAACTATGCTTATTGCTATGATGGATGAAGTTGAAATCGCAAGACAATTGACTATGGTAGATTATAATATTTATAAGACTATTCAGCCATCAGAACTTTATAATTCTGATGTATTTACTAAAAATGAATTAAGATATAGAGCAGAAAATGTTATGAGAATGTCTGATAGAGTGAATGAAATATGTTTTTGGGTAGCATCCTTAATTCTTTCATTCCCTGACTTAAATAATAGAGCAAAGATGATGACCAAATTAATTAATGTAGCCGAAGTATTATTTAATATGAATAACTTCCATTCATTAGCAGGTATTTATGTTGGTATTGAAGCATATTCTAGTATTTCTAGACTAAAGAAAACACGGGCTGAATTACCAGTATCAGCTCAAAAAACATTAGACAAATTAAATAAATGGCTTGGACTTGAATCAAATTATCTCTTATACAGAAATCATTTAAGTAGTCTTAAAGATAGATGTGTACCGTTTATTTCTGTTATTGGTAAAGATTTAACTTTTATCATTGAAGGAGCAAAAGCTACTTTTGATTATGATGTAGGTGGTGTTCAATGTAAATTAATTAATTTCTATCGTCATCAATTAGCAAATGAGAAAGTTACAGACTATTTGAAATTCCAACAATACCCTTATACATTCCCAGTTGTCCAACCTTTATATCAATACATATCCAATCCATTATATTTACCAGATAAGTTAATTTATGATCTTTCATTGTTATATGAACCAAGAGGAAAATAATTCAAATGCTTTATGAAAAAACATAAGAAGAATGTTTAATTCATCTCTTTTAAAATACTTTTTTTTGTATGTTTAAAAACTTCTACTTTATTAGAAAAACAATTTGATTTGAACAAAAAAAGAAAAAATTAAGAATCCACGTGTTTCCACATTGTTTATCTGTTTTATATTCACTTTTTTTAAAAAAAAATATTTATTATTTCACTTGTTTAAAGATGCCAATTATTACAAGTATACTTGATAATGATTTGTATAAATTTACTGTAAGTAATGGTTATTTTTGTTTGTATCCTTATGCCTCTGGTGTTTTTTCTTTTAGAGACCGTAATTTAATGAATTTTCCTGATGGCTTTGCTGAGGTGTTACAGAAAGAGATAAATGAAATGGCATCTATAAGTACAACAACAGAAGAAGTTGAATACCTTAAAACCCTTAAATATTTACCTCCAACATATATTGAATTTATTAAGAATTTTCATTATGACCCAAAAGAAGTTAAGATTGAAGTTATTAACAATAAATTGCATATAGACTGTACTGGGTATTTGTACAGAATGACTTTATGGGAAGTTCCTTTATTGGCTATTGTAAGTGAATTATATCAAAAAATGACTCATCATACTGCTGATATGGATTATGTCATCAAAACTACTGAATTGAAAGCAAAAAAACTTACTGAAGCAGGATGTAAATATAGTGATTTTGGAACAAGAAGAAGATTTTCTAAAGAAGTTCACGACGTTGTTGTGAAAACATTAAAAGAAAATTCAGGTAACAACTTTATTGGATCATCTAACGTTTATTTAGCAATGAAATATAACCTTAAACCTATTGGAACTCATCCACATGAATGGATGATGTTCCATGCTGCTGCTTATGGATATAAAGGGGCTAATGCTTTAGGACTTACTCGATGGAGAGATTTGTA